GCCCCCCAAAAATTCACCAGAAGTTTCCTTTTGGTCACTTCTTTGGCAAATTTTAATTATCACTAAATTGTCAGAAATTTAATACACGTATGGCTGTTTTGGACCCCTCCCCATTATGCAAAACAAGAATAGTCTCAGATTGTGAAGCTATCCACCTAAACTTGGAAAACACCAAATGCTTTTGTAATTCTAGATAATAATAACAAGTGCTAATTTGGCATGAAAGAGCATGAAATATAAATACCCACTCATCAAAGGACTTCAAACATCTTAAAAAAGGAAGGAAAACAGTCCAGTCTGGGAGCCAAACCCAATACAAAGCATCTCACAGGAGGGGGCTGCAGCCGGCAGCCAGGCTCCCCAGGCCTGAAGCCAGGCCTGGCTCTTCCTGCTCCATCACTGACAGGTTGGGGGGGCAGGCGGGCTGGGTTCCTCCACAGTCCCTAGAGCTTCCCTAGCTCCCCGCTGCATTGACCCTGTTTTTAAACCAAGGGTGGAGCTGGGCCTGGCCTGGGAAGAGGTACTCAGGGTCCCTGTGGACACCTGTACCCAGTGGTTCCCTATTGCACATCTGACCCAAAGGGGGACCTATAAAGTAGACGAAGTGATTCTTCAGCTTCCTCCTCCTACCCGCTTAAGGGTCTGTGTCACGCCTTTCCTCCCGCCCTCATGCCCCAGCCTGTGCCCCCATCCTGTGTTCTCAAAGCTTCCAGGGGTGTCTAACCTGGGGCCTGCAGGCTGGATGTAGCCCAGGATGGCTATGAATGTGGCCCAGCACAAAATTGTAAATTTACTTAAAACAGTGTAAGGTTTTTTTGTGATTACATGTTGCAATGTATTTAATGTGTGGCCCAAGACAACTCTTCTTCCAGTGTGGTCCAGAGACACCAAAAGTTGGGGCACCCCTGGTAGGTGTGACGGTCATTCATCAAGAAGTAAAATAGCTGATTGCTGACGGCTGTGCTGTTACCCCTGTGCAGCATCTGCATTCTCAACAAAACCTTGAGGAAAAGAGTGATGGTCAACTTTATATGTGTCAGTTTGGTGGGCCGAGTGATTTCCAGATAGCTAGCAAAGCATTCTTTCTGGGTGTGTCTGTAAGTGTGTTTCCCAGATTAGCATTTGGCTAGTGGACTGAGTAATGCAGATTGCCCTCCCCAGTGTGGGTGGGCATCACTCCATCTGCTGAGGGTCTGGGCAGAACAGAAAGGTAGAGGAAGGGTGATATACTACCTGCTTGGGCCGGGACAGGCCCCTTCCCCTGCTCTTGGACATTGGCCCTCCTGATTCTCAGACCTTGGCGTTCAGACTGGAAGTATACCCTTGGCTCCCCTGGGCCTCCACCGTACAGATGGAAAATCATGGGATTTCTCAGTCTCCGTAATTGCATGAGCCAATTCCTCATAACAAATCTCTTTCTGTATCTGTCTCTATACATCCTCTTGGTTCTGTTTCCCTGGAGAAGCCTGACTAATACAAATGTGTGTGTGTGTGTGTGTGTGTGTGTGTGTGTGTGGCCTAACTAGAATTTCTGATATCAGAAGGAAGAGGATGTGTAGGGGAAGGTGACAGATGGGGAGGAGCTCCAAGAGAAGGCTTGAGGTCACACTGAGAGGGTGACACCAAGGTGAGCCACACACAGGACCAGGCAGGTACTATGTGTAGGCCTGTTGTTCAGGAGAAACCATTGCACAATGTCTCGGATACTCCTCCTTCACCACCTCCAAACACCTACATGACCAGAGGATGAGGGTGACCCACCTGCTGCTGGCTCTGTCTGAGGTAACCTCAGCCGTCTTCCATGTTGGGGGATTGGTACTGACTCTGAGAATAGAAGACATTCCCTGCAAAGGGGCCCCATAGTCAGGGCTGAGGGAAGTTTCTGAAAACAGATAATGGCATCAGCAAGAGTCAGACTGTCCCCAGGTGTGTCCCCTACTTGTCATCTGGAAGAAATGCAGATGCTCCAGACTTTGCCATTCAAAGACACAGGAGGGATGGCTCACTAGTGACCTCATTACCATCCTTGCCCAGAGAACCAGTTACTCCTGCTCACCACCCACGGTCTGCTGATGGTAGGCTCGGATGCCAGGCCCAGGAAAAGTGTCACTGAGACCCAGTACCTCGGCACACATGCCTCCCCTCACAGCCATGCCAACAAATACTTCTTCTTGGGCAAGAAAAGATTTTCTGTGTTTGTGGAGAAATTGATGCCCCGTGACTCCCAATTGCTATGAACCATCTCTTCCATGTGCTCCCCTACCACAGTCTACAAAGTCATTTGTACAGTTGTGGGCCCCATAAGTTAGGCCTTTGGATGGAGCCTGAACCACACCGCAGGTCAGGCCCACCTTAAGACAAGGACACTAGCTTTCGTCATCAGACAGTGTGTTCCAGCCGCCCTGGGGACAGGGAGCTGCATGGCATCCTAGGCACAGAAGACTGTCAAGTGCAGCTGGCAGCCAGCCTGGACTGTTGGAGGGGGTCTGCGGAAACCACCTGTGTCTACCACAGCACGGAACAGAAGGGCATTTGAATCTACTTCTGTTCCTTTGAGTCCATTGTTTTTTTGGATAGGTTTCTTCATCCATCAGTTTGCATGGATGTTTCTTTCTTCCTTTTTTTCTTTTATTAGTTTTCATGTTTGCTGTTCTAACTTTCTGTTTCTCTCTTAGACTGTGGTTGAATTCTGTGTGGCCTACTTTCCTCCTATCGAATCACTTAAAAAAGATTTTATTTATTTATTTATCCTTAAATGTAAGTATATATTTTATTAATAAGTACATTTTAATAAATTCGACACATAAACACACCACTATTTTATCTAAGAAGGTTTATATATATAAAAGTGCACCAGTGAGCTGAAAATCAAGAGATTGGGGCAGAGGATGCTACTGCTCTGAACAAAATTATTTAATTTCCTTTTCTTATTAGACCTTCTTAGCACATCATTTCTCTCATTGTTTTAAAGACAAGAAATCAAAGAAGTTAAGGCAAACATTTACCATGCTCAATAAACAATGTTCTAGTGTGCTAACTGATTCTAATCAGGACAGCCAGCTTTAGCTATGTCAATACGCCATTAGGCAGAAAATAGCAGTGACATCAGGAATACAATCTACCAATTCGCTCATCATGGTTGAACACCAGCCAGCGGGTAGTAACCGAGGGCACCTCAAACACATATTGGCTGAAGTGTATTTAGTAGACACTATGCAATTCTCTTTTTCCAGCTCTATACTTAATAGTGTATCATCTTTACATATTCTTGTTATTACTAAGTTTACCACAGCTATTATTATGATAAGTTATATAAAATATATAGGCATTGTGTTAGGGACTGGGGATATGAGGATGAAAAATTGTGGTCACTGCCCTCAAAGAGTCATCATATAATCAAGGACAAGGCTATGTAAATGAATAAGTATATGCAGGACAGCTTTAATTTATTTATTTGCAGAGAGAAGGAAAGGGAGGGAGAAAGAGAGGGAGAAAAACATCAATGCGTGGTCGCCTCTCACATGCCCTCAACGGGGGACCTGGCCCACAACCCAGGCATGTGCCTTGACTGGGAATCGAACCAGCAAGACCATTCATTTTGCAGGCTGGCACTCAATCCACTGAGCCACGCCAGCCAAGGCAGAGCCACTTTTCTGTAGCTGGTAATCCTGATTGCTTTTTACATACGGTTTTGGGGAGCCAGAGATGGGGGAAGATGGAGGTAGGAGCTTCTTTGGGTATCATGTCTCTTTCCTTGGCAACATTTTTCAGTTTACAGTGTGAGGTTGTATTCTTTTCCATGGTTGATCACCAACAGTGAGGTTTTTTTCTCTTTTTTTTCTTGTTGATTTCATTAGCTTTGGGGAAAGGGAAAACTTGTACAAGGCCTGGCTTTCTTTATTCTTAGAAAAATGCAGGCCCGTGGAGTGAGGAAGCAGCATTCCACCTGGCAGAGTGCGGGCAGCAGAGGAAAGAATACGACACCGGCTGTGGGGCCACCTCATGGCTCTGAAACACTGGCCCCAGTGTCCTCCGCGTCACACCTCTGCCAGCCTTTAGCCCCTCACCTGGAGACGGACTTCCTCTTAACCTCAACCACAGCCAAGGAAACAGGGACCTGCTTTCAAATGAGCTGACATCTGAGAAAAAGAAATCCTTTCATTTCTGGTAGAAGCCTGCGCCCTCACTCAGAACTAACCTTCCTCCTCACATTGAACCCACAGAGATGACTTCAGTGGTTGACACCATTGCAGGACCTTGTAAAGGACCCACATTTCCTGGTTCCTCTGCCAATTCCTTCTCTGAGTGTGTAGGAGTCTCCACACACAGAGAGAATCTTTTCCTAAGGCAATCATGAAAAATTTGGATATTTGGGGCCAGAAATATGTCAAGTGCCCTCAGCCAACAGAACAAGCATAGTTAGCATGGCAAGGGGAGAGTGGCCCCTACAGAGGCAAACCATGCGCCATGCACCCAAATATCCATGGTAGGGGACACAGAGAGACGGGGTAACCTTGACAGGCAGGGAGCTGCGTGTGGCGTGGGGATGGGCGGAGGGAGGAGTATGGTAGGACGATCTGTCAGGAGTCACCAGCTTACAACTTTGTATAATTTTTCGAATCATTATTTCAAAATCTGTACCCCATAAACTTTGGGGCCCTGTGGCAAAGCATGGCCTCCCTGCCCTGATTTGGCTTCACAGTGTTGAAGGACAGTTCCTATATGTCCTGGGTCAGTTCCAGCCCCTGCAGGCATCAGGTACCCTTAAAAGCATAATTTCTTAAAAATTACAGGTAATTTTTAAGGGTAATTCACTTAAAAGCATAATTACCCTTAAAGTATAATTCCTTATTCCCTTACCTTACACTCACAGAGTATGAAGTAGGCATGAGCTCAGGGAAAGCCAAAGAAGAATTTGCTAAACAGAGAGAAGATCAGGAGCCAAGTGCTGTGAAATCTGGGAGCAGGAGAAAACTAGAGGCATTATTTGGCAAACTCACCTCCACGTCTGCCAGAGACATTAGGAACTCCCCACCTGACTCCTGGCCACAGATGCCCCTGTAACAAGTGGTGACTTCTCCGCCTGGCAGCCACCAGGCAGCCATCTGGCTCTGCACTGTGTGGTCTGCAAGGCCCAGGGTTTGGCATGGAGGGAGCAGAGGGCGGGTGTCAGCCACGGACTTTAACTCGGAGGAGGGGCAGGGGCACAGCACTGTTTCCACTGCCCCACCTCTGGCTTAAATTATAATAGCTATTTTATTTCCAGCTTTGGAATGCCTGTGGTATAATAATGTGTGCTCGAAGGGTGGTCCCAGAAACAGAGATGAGCAGACTCTCCACTTCCAAAGGCAGCTCCTAGAACAGACCCACCTGGGGAAGGGCCAGCCCTGTGCGAGCTGTAGGAAGTGCCTCCATCATCGGTGCACATATGGTCACTTCTCTTCTAGTTTAACCCTCTGTCACTCAGGCCCTGTCTAATTAACAGGAAGCCCAAGTATTTTTTTCATGGGGCTCTCTTTCCGCTGCCTCACCCCAAAAGGTCCATGCTATCTGAGCAGAGAATACTCTGGGGTCTGCTGCTGGAAACTGGCTCTGCTCAATTCCACTGGCAGTCACCGCCCACCACCCAGCCAGAGCCACACACGAGTGCTTAGGTGCTTGGAGGCAGGGCAGCCACTTCCTGGGGACTAACTGTAGCCCAAAGCACCCCAAACATAAACTCTCAGCTGGACTGGTGTCCTGGGGCTGCCAGAACAAATGACCACACACTGGGTGGCTTAAAAACCCAGAAATGTGTCCTCTCACTGTTGTGGAGGTCAGAAGTGTGAAATCCAGGTGTTGGCAGGTTGGTCCTCTTGGAGTCTCTGAGCAAGAATCTTCCATGTCTGTCTCCCAGCTTCTGGTAGTCAGCAGCAATCCGTAGCATTCCTGGGCGTGAGTCTATGTAATTCTGATCCCCGCCTCCTTTCATATGGCCTTCTCTGTGCTTCTCCTCTTCTCTTCTGTGTCCTTTAAGGAGGGACACCTGTCATTGAAGTTAGGGCCCACCTGGTAAATCTAGAATGTTTTCATATAGAGATCCTTAACTTAATTATATCTGCAAAGACAAGTCTCCGAATAAAGTAACATTCACAAGTTCTGGTGGACATATCTCTTACAGGAATGCCATTCAACCCAGGTATATTAGCTTGCAGTGGCTCCCATAACAAAATACCACACATGGCTTTGGGCAGGGGGGACAACAGCCACTTATTTTCTCTGAGTTCTTGAGGCTGGAAGTCCAAGATCACAGTGTGGTTGGGGTTGGTTTCTCCCGAGGCCTCTCTCCCGGACTTTAGGTGCCATCCTCGCCCTCTGTCCTCAGTTGGGCTTCCCTCTGGATGTGAGTCCCAATGGCCTCTTCTTATAATACCAATCGTATTGAATTAAAAACCACCCCAATGACTGCATTAACCTTAATTACTTCTGTCAAGACTTCATCTCCAGCCCTTACTGGTGTGGCTCAGGGGATTGAGTGTCAGCCTGTGAACCAAAGGGTAGAGGGTTCGATTGCTGGTCAGGGCACATACCTGCGTTGCAGGCCAGGTCCCCAGTAGGGGGGTGTGCAAGAGGCAACCACACACTGATGTTTCTCTTCCTCTCTTTCTTCTTCCCTTCCTCTCTCTCCAAAAACAAATAGATAAAAATCTTTGAAAAAAAGACTTTATCCTCAAATATAGTTACCAGGGGTTTGGCCTTCAACGTATGAATTCCAAGGGGACAGAACTCAGCCCACAACAATGAGGTGGTTTTCAGGCACAGACCTGGCTGAAGGAGAGGACAAACACAAATTTGTACTCCGATGAGTCAGAGAACACTGGTCCACCTCCCAGGACCTGGACTGTGCAGCTCTCTACTGGGGGCCACCGTGTGCCAGGCACTGTCCAGTACTTCACACAGCTAGTCAAGGACAGTCTTCCTTCCCTCTTAGGTGTCACGTCTCCTGGAGTGTTTGGAAAGGTGTGAGGGCAGAAAGAGATGGGCTGTCCTCACTGGTCCTGAGTTCCCTGTCTGACGATGTCTCCTTCCCTGGGTGCTCCTTTCTGCTCTGCCAGGGGCCTCTCCTCACCCCGCTGTTGACCATGACTTAGAGGAACCCAAGGGATGTGGTCCCTGTGGTGCAGCCTGGCTGCATTTTTCATATGCAGAGGGGGAGGTAACAACTGGGCGGATCGCAGCTCTTTTTGTGGCCCCATCCATTTCTGCACTCTGTAAAATCGCCAAATTGTTAAACGAGTTCTGTCTGTTGGGGTGCTTTTGATGACAAGTAAGATCAAACCTAACTCAAAGTGGTTTAAACAATAAGAGAAACTTACTGGTTCACATAAGTGAAAAGCCCAAAGGTGGTATGAACTTTAGGTAAGGGTTGATCCAGCAGTTCAACAAAGAACATGCTTTAAAAAAAATTGCAGTGTAATTAACATACAACATTATATTCACTTCAGGCATATAACATAATGATTCAATATGTGTATATTGCAAAGAATATGCTTTCCTTTCATCTTTTGTCCCTGTTTGTTTTTCTGTACTGGTTCCAAGCCAGGCTCTCTCTTCTTTGACTACCAGATGGCCAAAGATAAGCTCCTAAAATAAGCTGCATCAGTCCCATACAGCAAGAAGTTATCCTTCCCTATTTAGACAAGACGCCCTGAGCATCATTCTGATTTGAACCACTGTAGGTCACTTACGTATCTCTGAACCAGTCAGTGTACTAACTTAGAAAAGCAGGGCCCATTTCTGGACCTGGAGGGTGTTGGTAGAGTATCTTTCCCTCCCAAACCACAAGAATGGGCCACAAATGGAGACTGACGCAGATGGCTGGGGGTCAGCTTCGCACGTACTACACAGTTACCAGGTTGTGGTGGGGAAAACAAAACATAATGACAGCACGAAGGGGAAACTGAATGTAGACAAAATATGCCTTGTCCTATGATCCAGGGCAAAGTCTTTCAGGAATGCCCTCACTGGGTAGAATTATGGTCCCCAGGGCGAATCCATACCCTAATTCCTGAGACTGTGAATATGCTATCATATCCACAAATATCTTACGTTACATGGCAAAAGGGACTTTGCAGTTGTAATCAGCTGCCCTTAATATAGGATGATCTGGGTGGGTCCAATACAATCACATGAGCCTCTAAAAACAAGCAGAAGAGGTAGTCAGAGAATGCAAAACACAAGAAGGATTCGGTGCACCCTTGCTTGCTTGGAGATGGAGGAGGCCACATGAGAAAGAATGTAGATGGCCTCTAGGTGCTCCAGAGTGACCTGTGGCTGACAGTAAAGCAAGGGTGGGGACATTAATCCTACAGTGGCAGGGAACTGAATCCTGCCAACAGTCAGAGTGTGCTCACCCTCTCTATGTACCAGGCACTGCGTGATGTACCCTTTGCAAACACTATTTTGTTCAGTTCACATGGTGGCCCTCTGATGGACCAGGAAGCTTCTTACTGCAGAGGCAACTCAGGCTCAGAGAGGCCCAGCAATCTGTGCAAGGTCAGCCAGCCATGAAGCAGAGGAGCTGGGCTCCAAACTCGAGCCCGAACCATCACACCACCCACCCGCCCGGCAGGCAAAGTGGGCCTGGCAGCTTTCAGATATGACAGGGTCCTCCAGGAAAGTTAAAGAGCGTGCGTGACAACAGGTGAGTAGAGCATGGCTTTGCAGTGGGGACTAATGAAAAGCTAGACACATAAAAAATGTCATTTTTTTGCAACACTGTTATTGGCCTGCAGTAAGCAAAGTGCTGGGTTCACACTATGAAGGCTGAGTCGAGAATGGGGTTGGGGACAGCCCACCACCCCCAATCTATTAAATTCAAAACTGTGGGGGTGTCCCTGGTACCTCCTTTTCTAACAAGCTCCCAGGTAAGCTGTAGGTTCAATGACATGTAAGACATTGGCTGCTATGCATTGAATTGAGACTCCTAAAAACTCACATGTTGGAGTCCTAACGCCCGGTACCTCAGAATGGGACCTTCTTTGGAGATAGGGTTCTTACAGAAGTAATCAGGTTAAATATGATCATTAGAGTGAGCCACAATCCAACATGGCTGGCTGACCTTCTAAGAAGAGGAAATCTGGACACAAAGATGTGCACAGAGGGAAGACAACATGAAGAGACACAGAGAGCAGATGGCTGTCTGCAATCCAGGTCCTTTCCTCCCAGCCTTCTGAAGGAACCAACCCTGCTACACCTTGACCTTGGACTTAACTGCCTCTAGAACTGCGGGACAACAAATGTCTGTTGTTAAGCCACTTATTTTGTGCTCCTTTGTCTCGGAGGCCCTGAAAAACCAATGTAATGGCTGCACAGAGAGAAGGACATTTACGGTACACACATCTGCTGTAGGGCTGGGGTGGGACACACAGAATATTCCGAACCACAACTCAAAGATAGGAATAGTGTTCCGTTTTCCTGGGAGTGGGGGGGAGCTTCTCACAGAGTTCTTAGAGTGAAGTGATCTGAGAGCCTCAGAAAAGCCAGTGTCTGTTTTCTGGGGCAGGGAGGGAGAGCCAGAACAAAGGATCTGTCCTGGTGAGCTAAAAAAGTGGGAGGAAGAGAAGAGAAACTGATCCTGGCAGATAACAGTTTTTACTTGTTATTTGTTCTTAACTTCCTGGCTGATGCCATGGTGAGTGGGGGGGAGGGTGTCTCAACCGGCAGGAGTTTGAAAAATAGGACTCTGCTGGCATTCTGAGCAAGCATGTTCCTTTATGAAATAAATGATCCTCTAAAAGTCTCCCAGATGGGGGCGTCCACTGGTCCTCCAGGGTTCCAGGCCACTCACCCACTCTAGTGTCTCTGCATTCTTGGAATGGGGACAGGGCTGACGGGAAGTGATTCCAGCCAATTACTGGGCAGCCTCTCGTCTGTCCAAAGGGCATCAGAGGCCTTTGTCCCCACTAGAGTCCTTCAGGCATCATGTCCCTGGAAATCCTGTCCTTGCAAAAAGAAAGCAAATGGGGTTAGGGCAGGCGAACCCTGGATTTCCTGGGGGACTCAGGGCAGGGCCTGTAACCTCCACCGCAGCAGGTCAATACATGCATGTTGAGGACAGGCCCCAGGGGGGACATAGCTTCTCCGCTGAGTCCCCTCAGGCTTTGGGATGGCCATGGCTCCTCTGCTGTTTTCTATCTCATCCTCCCCAGCACTGAATTCTTTCCCTTTCAGCCTAAAAATTTCCCTGTTTACAATTAGCTTGAGCATTTGTAATGCATTCACAGCATGCCGTGCCTGGAGGGGATCTTCAAAATCAGCTGCCCTAATTTTATTGATAAGAAAAATTAAATTCAAAAAGAAGTTCAGGGCATTGCATCTGAGACAATTAATGACAGCATGTGGCAAGCACAGCCCGGGTCTCCTGCTCCTCTCCCAGGGATCTTTTTATAACACGGAAGCCAAATTCCAGTCTCACAAGGCCCTGGAGGGTGGCAAGGGTGTGGAGCAAGAGTTCCCTGATCAGGTTTGTTTTCACAACACAGCCGGGAGGCCCAACCCAGTCCAGCTCAGGACAGGAGCTTAAACTGTCCTTCTGCCTGAAATGCTCTGTACCCACCCTTGACACTGGGTCCACATCTTCTTCAGACCTTGTCTCAAACATCGTTTCCCCCCAAAAGCCATTCCCGATTTCACAGATGCCATTAGGACCTCATGGAAATGCTCTCTCCACACCCCGCTTCTCTCCTGCAGCACTTACCATTACAGTTGCATTCTTAGTGGGTTCAAGGCTTGTCTTTCATTAGCAGCTAAGCTTCACAAGGATGACAGCCACTTCTTTCTCAACCGGGTGTTCCCAGCACCTCACACAGCACCATACACACAACGGGCAGTTTATAGATGCGTGTTGATTGGATGGCTGAATTAGCAAATTAAGGACTCAGAAATTCTGCAATAAAGCAGCCTCTACTACTTTGCTTACATTTAGCATTTCCCAGACCTGTTGGACCATAGCACTACGACATGTGAGGACCAGACCTATCTGAGTAACAGAGACACGCTTTGGGGAATTCTGTGCCCCACTGCACACAGTCTGCCCCAAATAAGAGAGTTCCAATGCTCACTGTAGCCCTGACCCAGAGAGAACATTCCAGACACAGGCTACAACATGGATGATTCTTGAGGACATTATGCTCAGTGACACCAGCCAATCACAAAAAGACAAGTACTGTGTGATCCCACTTACCTGAAATACGTAAAGGAGTCAAATTCACGGAGATAGAAAGTAGGATGGTGGTTGCCAGGGGCTGGAGGGGGGACCGAGGGGAGCTGTTGTCTAGTGGGTACAGAGTTTTACTTGTGCAGTATGAAAAAGTTCTGGAGATCTGTTTCACAACAGTGTGAAAATACTTAACACCACTGGACTGTACATGTAAAAATGGTTAAGATGGTAAATTTTATGCTGTGTCTTTTACCACGACAATGATTTGCGTATAGAGAAAAAAAAAGATGGCTGAATTGAAAGTGTTTTGCAAACTGTAAAGACTATACACCCATAAGCCAGGTTTTAGGACAGACATATCCCCGGTCAGAGAACAGCACCTGCTACAGTAGGTGCTCAATAATATTCACTGACTCAGTGAAGAATCTTTCTTCTTCTTCTTCCAATGTTCTTCACATTGGAAGAAAAAAGGACATTAGAGTGGGGGAAAGAAACAGCAGAACTTCACCTGGTGGACAGATACAGGACTTTCGGAAACAGGACTCCTTGGTCACCCAAATCTGTGCCATCTGAAAGAAACGTCGTTCCCATGTAATTAGGTGTTGGGAGTAGAACTGACCGCTAACAGAGGGCCCTCCCCCCCCACTGTTCCTGCAGACAAGAGATCGTAAGTGGGATGGATACTCAGACCCCAAGGAAGAAAGGCAGGTGCTGGGCAGAGGGGGCTGCTCGTGCCAGCTCGTGCCAGCCCTGGGTGGCCCGGCTGCGCTGTGAACTGCGACGGGAAAGGCCCTCGGGAACATCTTAGGAAGGGCTCAGAACACAACCAGCATCCAAAGCCCCCCATCTTCTTTCCATCCGGACCCCTCCTTTGCCGCTGGTCAAACCCCGGGCACCCAGCACAGCTCAGGCAGGACAACCAGCACAACAGGGTTCCCCACCTCAAAGGGAAGCATTTGCTCTAGTGAGTACCTCCAGGCCCTCCCTCGGCTGCTCACCACCTGCTGGCGTCCCTTGGTACCGTTCCAAGTACACACAGGTCTTGTTTTCCATTTATGTGGAGGCATCTCTGGCATCACGATATTACAAACATCTCTTTATGTTTTCCTACCTGGTGAAAAGGCCCCTTAAGAATCACAAAACCCATGCTATCTTTGTTTACTTCTGCATGTTATTTCGGGCATGCACAGGCACCCAGCTGTTCTGGTGTCCCCTCAGCGGCACCTCTGAGAAGGCGCTACATGGAGGTGTCTGCATTTCCAGAACTCTGAGGTGCAAATGGACAGAAAATGCACCACACTTGTATGAAATCACCCAGAGCAAGAGTGGAATGTGCGTGAAGCCTAAGCCAGGAGGGAAGTCTTTTGAACTCCTACCCTTCTGAGTGTAAAAACAGCAGCTAAAGGAAGTCCTGGGAAGGCATGACAATCAAATAAAAGGCTGCCCCCATATCGACACATTTCTAACAATTTACAAATCGACATCCACAGCTCACTTCAAAGAATCTGCCAGACTCTAGCCACGCCTGAGGAAAAAGCAGCCCTGACAGTTAGAGGATGATAGTTGGGGTTCAGCATGGACTAAGGCTTCAGCACCCCATGTCTGCCCCTTAACCTTCCTGGACCTTCTTTACCATCACTCCCAATGTTCCTACGAGTCGTAGAAGGCATTACATGTCTGCTGTGGGATGCGGCAGAGGAAGAGTTTATGGGTGTCTTTTCTGGTTTACGGGTGTCTCCTGCTGGGTTTCCAGGGGGCACCTTAAGAGGGAGGAGGAAACCTGATGCTACAATAGGGGTCTGTGCCCCAGTATTTGAATGGTATATGCAGATATTTTCCTCTGACATGATGACACGTGACTGCATACGGGAAGTCTGGGAAGCCTCCTTGAGTGTCCCAGGCAGAGGGCCTCTAAGGCCAGACTTGGACCCACACCAGCTTCAGGCCCAAGTGGGAATAACAGCCCAAGAGCAAAACCCAACGGGAAACCTGGGCTGCATTCCCCACCCTCTATGCAAATTTGCATTAAACTTCACCCCAGTCCACAGGGGTGATGACTCTGCATCGCAGACATGTCCTAGACCAAGAAACACCTCTGAGGATGGGTGGAGTAGAAGCTGCTTTGGCCCCAAATAAAAAACTGTCCTTTCATAAACCGAGCTGGCATCGCAGGAAGTGGGAGGACTGAGGTCAAGCTGGCTCCCGGGAATAAGAAGAGACCGCTGTGCTCCAGGCACCACCGGCAAGCAGTCTGAGGGGCTGCCTTTGTGACAGACCTCCCCTCTGGGCCCTGCGCCCGCCCCAGCCACAGCAGGGCTGACTGCATGCCAGATACCAGTAGGAGTCAGAAAAAAAAAAAAAGACTGTTCAGGACCTCAACCCAAGCAACCTCACAGCAGAATGTCCGCTCCATCTTGACACAAAAGATGAGTCAAGGCCTCTGCCTGGCATGGCGTGTCCAATCTCAGAGAGAGAAAGGAGGCAGGAAGTGATGGACAAAAAAGGGAAAACACACAAGAATAACTTTTCTTTCTCCAACTGGTTTGGAAAGCGGGTGCTTGGAAGCAGCAAATAGTGACTGGGGAGAGAAGTAGTGAACAGCACCCAGCTTTAAAAAGGGGAAATTGCTGATCTCCGAGCCAGAAAAGGACCTGCTGAAACCAAGGGGTGTTACCATTTGCCGAGGAGACAGTCTGTAGGTCCTATGAGCGTGGAGAGAAGTCCAGGAGGAGTCACACAGAGGGGGTGGAGGATCAAAGCCAAAACCAAGTCAGGGCAGTTGAGGTGAGTCAAACTGGGGCTCAGCAGGGGCTTGGAAGGAGGCAGTCAGCCAAAAGCGAACAACAAGGTCCAGCTTCTCTCAGCAGGATGCCTGCACCCCATCCCACAAAGACAGAAAGTGCCCACTGGAGGAGCCAGCAGGGCACGACAAGGTCCTTGCACCAGACACTGCAATTCTCCTACAGACAGATTTTCCTTCTTCAGGGAAAGCTACCCCAGATGCCTAGCATGGGCATCGAAAGGCTAACACGCCTCCTTCCTTGTTCATGGGGATGCTGAGGATGCTGAGGATGCTGAGGATGCTGATGCCGATGCTGTGAGATGATGACCAGACAGGATGCCGTTCACTGGGAGGTGGACTTCTCAGTATGGTGGTGTAAAATGTGTTAGGGTCACTCATGTTGCAAAGGGCAGGATTTTCTTCATTTAGGGCTGAGTAATATGCTAAGTGGAATAAGCCGGACACAGAGGGACAAATACTACATGATGCCACTTAGATGTGACTCTAAAAGGGTCACCAAACTCAGCAGCAGAGCGGCATGGTGATTGCCATGGCTGGGAGGGGGAGGAAAATGAGGAGATGTCGGTCAGAGGACACAACGTTGAAAAGGTCCTAGAGGCCGACCACCCTCACAGCCAACACCACCGTACCGTGTAACTAAATTGTGCCGTGAGGGTAGACCTCATGCCAGGTGTCCCCTCGAGATGCCCTGTTCAGGATATCCGCAACAGTCTCACTCCGGTCTCTGCTGTCCAGATGTTTATTTATGTATTTACTTACTTATGGGAAACACCATTCTCCCGTCATTGTGATTCTTCCCAACTCTCGTTATCTGGCACAGCTTCCCGGGGTTTGGCGACAACCCGGACGAGAGGGATAAGTGGTTGGTCCCTCCACCCTTAGCTGGACTGGTGGGGCCTGCGGCGCAGTGACCTGGTCGGGTCGCCAGTGGCATTGCCAGTATACTCTACACATACAGTACACGTTACATTTCCTCTGTATGCCACAGAGCGGGAAAGGTCGGAGGCCCTGCCTGATGGCACATAACCTTTGTGTGTTGAGTCCATTGGGCTTTGCCTCTTAGCATTCACGGTTAACTCTAAAACCCTTCCCCTCTCAAACGCACTCAGCTCTCGCATAAGAAATGGGCCTGGGCCTTTAAGTCCTGAATGATGACCATTGGTTTAGACGTTATTTGACACTTACTCTACTGCTTTGTTGTCTCCGGGTTATTATTTCATGTTGTCCCTTTGCTGCAGCGCATACCTGTCCCCAAGGCAACAGAGACTCTAAGAGGAAGGAGCAGGCGACAGAGGGCAAACCTCTTAGTCTCCTCCTTTTATGGGGCCCCACCCTCCCAGAGCAGTGAGGTGTGTCTTTTGACTCGGAAGCCCTGCCCTTCCAAGCCCAGAGGCTGTCTCCAGGGGCACTGCAGCTAAACTTGATGGGCTGGTTTCCCAGAAGAAAATAAAAAGAGAGAAGCACTCCGGGTAATATCAAGAGATCAGGAAAGAGAAATAAGTCTCTGCATAGCAGAGGGCATTCAGTAGGAAGGGAACTGTTTTTAGGAAGCGCCAGTCCTGACTCACTCCCCTGACTGACAACGCGTGCTATTTGAGGTCAGTTGCTCATCCTTTCTGTGCCCCAGTTTCCTCTTCTGCAGCACAGATGCTCATCATACTACAGCATGTGTCGTGGAAATGGATGAATAATCAGGGCCCCCCACAGAGGGTGGATGCTGTGCAGTGCGAACTCAGGAGCTGTGCTGAATACTTATCGCTGGGAAGGGGGCAGACACGCTCAGATACTGGCTTTTGGTGTTGGCTGCAGAGATTGCTTCAAGGAGGGGCCTGTCCTGGAAGGACCTGCTTCTGACAGGAGAAACAGGCAGACAGAGCACAGTAGGTTTCTGTAA